GTGCGGATTTCTGTCCTATGCGCTTTTTAAGTAAACTGCAATTTTCACCTGACTAGCCCAGCGCCTGCAACAAAACCGATTTATTGAGTAGGTAACTTGAAGAACGAATTGGGTGCATGGGTCCTACTGCGCAAAGGGTCTATCTGTACTTCTAGCCACGAGGAAGGTCGTTCATGGTGGATTGCGTTACATCACTCTTTACTAGGCTTTTAGAAAAATGATGTTTCAGGCGTGGCTTGGATTGTGCCGCTGTGGAGTTTATGTTGGAGAGGCGATGCTGACCCCCGAGGGGGCAGGGGATGAAAGCTCTCACCCTGGAGGACGGAAAAGGAAGGAGCCATTTTGGGGAGAGGTGCCCACTGCAGCCTTACCCTTCAGCAATGGCACCGTTTTAAGAAATTCAAGTACATTAGCAGAGGTGGCTGATACACTTCATCCCGAAGGCTTTGAATTTGCTACGCTCACAGGTTGGAGACCACCAAGCATTAACTTAAATTGCCTCCTGCGCCTGGCATGGGGTACAGAGCAGTCGGCCAACAGATGTTTGCTATCAATAGAATATTCGGTAACCTGTTTTTGTTGAGGCCTTGAATAAAACTTTTATTTTTTTATTTTTTATTTTTTTTAATAGGGTCGGTTAATTTAGTTTTTTTAAAGATTTTTTATTTTTATTTTTTAACAGAGAGACAGCGAGAGAGGGAACACAAGCAGGGAGCATGGGAGAGGGAGAAGCAGGCTTCCCGCCGAGCAGGGAGCCCCATGTGGGACTCGATCCCAGGATCCTGGGATCACGACCCGAGCCGAAGGCAGGCGCTCAACGACTGAGCCACCCAGGCGCCCAAAACTTTTATTTTTTTAAAGATATTTATTTGAGAGAGAAAAAGAGAGCATGAGAGGGGGGAGGGTCAGAGGGAGAAGTAGACTCCCCGCTGAGCAGGCACCCCGACGCGGGACTCCATACTGAGACTCCAGGATCATGACCTGAGCTGAAGGCAGGCGCCCAAACAACTGAGCCACCCAGGCGCCCTAAAACTTTTATTTTAACTTCTGCTTTTCTTTTTCTTTTTTTAAAGATTGCATTTATTTGACAGAGAGCACAAGCAGGGGCAGGGACAGAGGGAGGGGGAGAAACAAACTCCCCGCTGAGCAAGGAGCCTCAGCGGGGGTCCTTATCCAAGGACGCTGGGATCACGACCTGTGCCAAACGCAGACACCCAACCGACTGAGCTACTCGGGCGCCCCTGAATAAAACTTTCGAAGTTCAAGCTTGGGGGGGTACCCGGGTGGCTCAGTCGGTTAAGCCTCATTCTTGGTTTCTGTTCAGGTCCTGATCTCAGGATCCTGGGATGGAGCTCCCCATCTGGCCCTGTGCTCAGTGGGGTGTCTGCTTCTCTGCCCCTCCCCCACTCATGCACGGTCTCTAAAATAAATCTAAAGAAATCTTTAATTTTTTATTTTCTAAAAGATTTTATTTGACAGAGAGAGAGCGAGCGAAAGAGGGAACACAAGCAGGGGGAACTGGAGAGGGAGAAGCACACTTCTCGCTGAGCAGGGAGCCTGACACCGGCTAGATCCCAGGATGCTGGGATCATAACCTGAGCCATAGGCAGACCCTTAACGACTAAGCCACCCAGGTGCCCCCAAAATAAATCTTTTTTAAAAAAGGGAAAGAAAACAGAAGGTACATTTTGAGGACAGTTGTGGAAATTTTAGTATGCACTCTATTTTAGATAATAATTGTATAGGTTTTGTTGTTGCTGTAACAAGTAACTACAAACTTTGTGATTTATTTCCTTTTCTTAAAAAGATTATTTATTTATTTGTCAGAGAGAGAAAGAGCACAAGCAGGGAGGCGTGTCAGGCAGAGGGAGAAGCAGGCTTCCCGCTGAGCAGGGAGCCCGATGTGGGACTCGATCCCAGGATCCTGGGATCATGATCTGAGCCAAAGGCAGACGCTTAACCGACTGAGCCACCCAGGTGTCCCCAAACTTCGTGATTTAACACAAATTTATTCTCTTACAGTTCTGGAGGTCAGCAGTCTAAAATCAAGGTGTTGGCCAGGCTGCCTTCCTTCTAGAGACTTTAGAGACTGTTTCCTTGCCTTTTTCAGCTTCTAGAAGCTGCCTGTATGTGACCCCTTTACATCATTCCAACTCTTCTGCTTCTGTCATCTCCTAGTTCTAACTCTGGATCCTATTTATAAGGACTCTTGTGATTATCTCGGGTCCACCTGGCTAACCCAGAATAATCTCCCCATCTCAAGACCCTTAATTTAATTACGCCCACAAAATTCTTTTTACCATGTAACTCTTCACAGGTTCCAGGCATAGGATGTAGACATATTTGGGGACCATTACTCAGACCACCAAAATAATGATACTGTAATTATGTAGGAGAATGTCCTTATTCTTAGTAGAAACATAATGTGAATATTTAGTGGTGAAATGTAATCTCCACTCTGAATGTGGAACTTGAACTCAGGACCATGAGATCAAGAGTTGCATGCTCTGTTGACTGAGCCAGCCAGGTGCCCCAATAACCAAAACTTTCCAATGGCTCAGGAAACACACACAGAGAGAAAGCAAAAGAGTGATAGGTATACAGGTATTCACTGTATTTTTCTTTTTTAAGATTTTATTTATTTATGAGAGACACAGAGTGAGAGAGAGAGGCAGAGGGAGAAGCCAGCTCCCTGAGGAGCAGGGAGCCCGATGCAGGACTCAATCCCAGGACCCCAGGATCGTGGCCCGAGCCGAAGGCAGGCGCCCAACCATCTGAGCCACCCAGGTGCCCTATTCACTGTATTTTTCTTTCAACTTTTTTGTAGCTTTGAACTTGTAAGAAGTGGGGGAAGTATGTATTAATAAATTCCATGTAACGTGTATGATTTACATATTATACTTAAGATTCAATTTTAAAAGTTCCATTGTTTTTATTTTTTTTTAAAGTTTTTTTTTTTTTTAATTCATTCGAGACAGAGATAGAGCATGGGCAGGGGGAGAAGCAGAGGGAGGGGGAGAAGCAGACTCCCTGCTGAGCGGGGAGCCCGATGCGGGGCTCAATCCCAGGACCCCGAGATCATGACCCGAGCCGAAGGCAGACGCCCAACCATCTGAGCCACCCAGGCGCCCCTAAAAGTTCCATTGTTTTTATTAAACTATGGTCACCTTAGACCGGTGGCTTCCAGATTTTTGGATTTTCCGATTATTAAAATTTCAAAAAATTTCTGGGGTACCTTTTTACCATCATTCTACAAACAAAGGCCATCTGAAGACTAAAAACAGACACTTCTTTAAAACAGAACACCCACTTACCTTTAAAGCATAACTATATTTCGTTAACTTCTCTCAAAGCTCATTTTGAGACTGCCTTAGATTAACAATCAGGGCCGGTGTGCCCTCTTGTGGCCACCTAGAGAATTACTGCTGTCTATCTATCATTTCTTCTGATTTGATGGACAATTTCTGTCATTAACACGTGCATGCCAGGCACTGTTCTATGTTTGGGATGTATTAGTAAAGAACAAAAATACCCCTGACCTAGTTGAGCTTATATACAGGTGGAGAGACAGACCATACACAAATAAAGTAATAAGTGTTGTGGGAAAAAATAGCATAAGGGCCTTGGGGACCAGAGTATAGGGAGTGGTAATGTAGTAGCCCTCATTGAGAAGGTGACTTTTGTATAGAGTTGCAAGGAGGTGAGGGAGTTCACCATGTAGCTATATAGCTGAGGTGAAAGTTTCTAAGAACCATATAGTTATGCTATCCAGTGAAGGAGAAAGAAGTAGACAGTTCAGAGGTCACAGGAGACAAAATTGTCTACGGTCTTCCCTGCAGGCCATAGGAAGGGCTTTAGCTTTACTGTGTCTGAAATGGAGAGCCCTGCAAGGTTTTGAGCAGTAACAATCTAAGTTTAAAAGGACTACCGTGGGGGCGCCTGGGTGGCTCAGTTGGTTAAGCGTCTGCCTTCGGCTCAGGTCACGATCCCAGGGTCCTGGGATCAAGCCCCACATGGGACCCCCTGCTCAGCGGGGAGCCTGCTTTTCCCTCTGCCTCTGCCCTTCCCCTTGCTTGTGCTCTCTCGCTCTCAAATAAATAAAATCTTAAAAAAAAAAGAGACTACCCTGGCTGCTGTATTGAAAAGAGAATGGGGTAGAAAGGCCTCTAGAGTAGTCTAAACAATGGTGGAGAAACAAAGCAGGAAAAACAATGGCTCAGATTAGGGTATTACCAACAGAAGTAGTGAGATATGGTTGGATTCTGGATATACTTAGAGTCAACAGAACGGATACAGATGTTGGAGACATTAAAGAGAACACTGTTTTGTTCTGAGTGGCAGAAACGATGAGTTGCCATCAGTTGTGCTGGGGAAGGTGGCACAGATCAGAAGTCCAGTTTTGGACATAAAGAGGTGGAAATATTTAACTGGAAATAGAAATGTGGGAGTCAATGGCGTATAAATGGCATGTAAAGTTCTGAGACTGGATGAGATCACCAGGGTGAAAAAGTAGAGAAGAGGCTCCAGGTCACTCCAATTTGAAAGAAGCTGGGTTGAGAGGATGAATCAGCAAAAGAGAATAAGAGGAAGCAACCAGAGGTAGGAGAAAAAGCATGTGAGTGTGGTCTCCTAGAGGAGAGCGTGCAGGGGCCAGTAGGGAGCAGAGGTGAGGTTCTCTCCTCAGGCTACACTCTTAAATCTTCCAGGATATCAATGTTCCTTCCCTCCAGACCAGCTTTTTTCCTGGATGAGCAGAGGAACCCCAGCCCATCAACAAAGCTCTCATTTAATTCCCCCGCCCCGCTACACAGAGAACAGACATATAGCAAGATTATTTATTGAATTCTTGCCAGCCAGCAGCTCTCCCTCTCCCCTCCTGGCAGGCCCAACCCTCAGCCTCCCACCTGGGCCAGTGGAGTCACCGTGAGCGTGACCCCAAGATCCTTCTGCCAGGCTTCCTGAAACACAGCCCGGGCCTTTCTGGATTGCCTCAGAGGCTGTTACTCCTCTCCCTCCACATCCTCCTTCTGGAAGTATGTGATGTAAGCCAGCTGATCCTGGTCATGGGCGTCAAGGTAAAAGGTCGTGTTGCTGTGGGGGACGCCACCGAGGTATAATGCTGGAGGCAGGGGAGGCGAGCCTGAGTTTGGGTGCCGCTGCACCTCGGCTCCAGGCACCCTCACTCCCCACTCACCTTTGGAAACATTGACTTTGTTGGCCGCCAAGATATCCGCCTGAATGCTATCTATTTTCATGTACAAGTCCTCGGCATTGCTCTGGGGGCAGGAGCAAGGGGAACCTACTGAGCCTCCAGGGCAGTCTGAACCTGCAGGCGGGCGCCAGGCACAGGAATGCGGCCGGCTCCGGGGCTGACCGGAAGCGCAGGACAGACACCGGCAGGACGCGGGGCGGGGGTGGGGATGGGGAGGAGCCCGAGCCAGCGCGGTCCCTCCCACAGCGGCTCCGGGCCCAGTGTGCGTGGAGGGTGTGGCCCGGGGCGGGGGGGACGCTGTGGAGGCTGCACCGTCCGATCCAGGTCCAGGCTCTGCGGGGCGGGGCGAGGCGGGGGCACTTACGAGGAAAAGCTTGTAGAGCTCCTCTCCCATGGACCTGCGCACGTGCTCCTCCACCACCGGGAACACCTGCACGAAGTACTGCGGCCGCGGGGGGCGGCGGGGTGACTGCGGTGCCCTCGCCCAGGGCCCGCCGCGCCGCCCCGCGGTCCCGCCGCTCACCTCCAGCGTGAGGCTGGCCTGCCGCTGGCTGTTGCTGTGGTCCGAGTTGCCCATGGCGGCCAACAGGCTGTGCACCACGCGCAGGTGCAGCATCTCCTCGGCGATGCTCGTGTTGCTGCGCGCCAGGATCCTGGGCCGGAAATTTGGGCGGCGGCGACCCCTTGGGATCCTCCGGCGCTCGGCAGCCCGAGCCGCATCCCCCCCACCCCGGGACCCGCGGGCAGCGCCAGCCTGGCTCGCCGCATTCTCCCCACTCCCCCTGCCCGCTTACCCGATGGCCTTGGCTGCCGCGGCCTGCTGCAAGAACACCGGCAGGTGGGCGGTGAGCTGGGGAACCAAGGAGTCTGGCAGAGGGGGCGGCCGTGAGGTTGGAGGCCCGGCTTCCCAAGGCCAGCCCCCCGCCCCGCAGCCCCAGTCCGAGCGGCTCCCTACCGTTGAGGATCTTGGGTTGCAGTTTGCTGGTCTCCTTGACGGACGGTATCAGCAGCTCCACGAGGCCCTTGAGCAGCGCCTGGCACACGTCATAGTTGACCAGGTCCTTGATCAGCTCGATGGCTGGGGAACGGCAGAGGCGCTGGGGAGGCCTGACGCTCCAAAACCCCCCATCCCCACCAAACAAGCAAAGACTCCCTTGAACCAAGTCGCTTCCCTTTACCCCCATCCCCTTCCTGCTCCTTTCCTAGCACCTTTTACTGGCCAGCACCGTGCAAGCTCTGTGTGGGGGAAGCTGGGCAGGCAACACCTCAATCCAGCTGGATCTGGGGCTAAAGAGGAGGAGGAGGGGGCCGAGCCTCATCCCCCACACTCAGCCCTCACAGAACTCGCCATAGAGGGAGGAGGAAAGGTTGGATGGTGAGCCTTTGAGGCTGTCAGAGCTGGAGGCCCCACCGAGGTGGGGCCACCTTCGGCTTGGAGGAATCCGGGAATCCGGCTGTCACGGAGGTGGGAGGGGCTAGGTCTTCAAAGGGATAAAGGATGGGCAAAGCCCCCCGGCGGGGGGGTGAGAGGGAGACAGCGAGTGGGTGGAGGATGTGTGGCAGCAAGTGAGAAGGGTGGAAGCAAGGTAGACTGCGGTAGTTTTTGACAAACCATTTATGGAGCCCTTCTTTGCCTAGGCTTTCCACACAGCATCCCCTCGAAGCTCACCATAACCAAAAGAGGTTTGCTTTGCAATGACACTGTAACTGTTAGCCCATTTCACTTTGGAGAGGGTGAGGCATAGGGGCAAAGTGTTTTGGCTAAGGTCCGGGGTTAGGAGGGAAGCAAAAAGAAAGACTTGGTTAGGAATGAGGAAAGAACTAGAATTTATTGAGGGTTTTTTTTCTAGAGGTACTTTCCAGTCATTCGTTCTTTCTGGTATTCCCTCAGCCTTCGCACAAGCCTGCACTACATGCCTGATCCGCCAGGTGCACAGTATAGCACTACAAAACGGGTCAGGCTGTGGGGGTGCCTGGGAAGATGGGGAAAGGAGAGAAGGAACATTCTTATAAAGAGAAGGGAATCGCATAGAGGCAGAGCTGGACGGGGGCAGGGTGAGTTGGTCATGTGATGGAACAGTGGTAAGTGTTATTTTAAACACACGTGCTTGCTACGTTGACTCAACTCATAGGGGAGCTGAGACTTCGGGGAAGCGCGGTTCCCTGACTAGCTCATTTACATACCAGAACTCATATAGACACATGGGAACTAATACCAGGAATATCTCTTTGAGTCATGAAAATTAACCTTTTATACCCTTGTCAGGAAAGCTTTGCCCAGTAAGAATATGCTTGAGATAATTCTCAGTCATGGAAGAAAAGCGTTTGCTGGTAGGTGCAAAGGCACCGCAAGCGTAGGGGGATCAGCCAGTATCCGGGACCAGGGGCACAGGGGCAATACATATGTTGTTTTTTCTCATTATTATATAATAGAGTCTTTGATGTAGATGCCAAACATGTTTTTTTGCAGGAAAAAGCACTAGAGAATTGGTAGTACAATTTTTGGAGGCCTTATTCAACTAAGGCTAAATGTTTTCTATCAAGGACAGATTCTTGGGTTCGTGGTTTGGTTGTTAACACTGCTGTTGGCATATCTAGGTGGCTCAGTCATTAAATGTCTGCCTTTAGCTCAGGTCATGATCCCAGGGTTCTGGGGTCAAGCACCCATATTGGGCTCACTGCTTGGCTGAAAGCCTGCTTCTCCCTCTCTCATTTCCTCTGCTTGTGTTCCCTCTTTTGCTGTTTCTCTATTTGTCAGATAAATAAGTAGAAAACAGTACTGCTGTTTGGGATCCCAAGACCTCCTATGGTTGGGCAACATCTTATAAAGTGCCTTTTTTCTTTTTCTTTTTTTAAGTTAGTATTGTGGTAATTTTTCCTAAGAAAACAACTTGTTTACAGCGCTTGCATGAATTGGGGGGGACGTGGGGGGGGGGACGGCCAGAGCAAGAGCAACTTTCAAGCTGACTCCTCAGTGGGCCAAGAACCTGAGGCAGCTGGATCCCACACCCCATGAGATCCTGATCTGAGGCAAAACCAAGAGTCAACGCTTAACCAGCTGAGCCTCCCGGGCGCCCCTTAAAAAATGTTTTGGGTCCCCTCCATCCCAGCAGTGGGTGGGGCAGGTGCGCACCCTGCACTACTGTGGGCCAACCCTATCATCTCACCCAGAGGGCTCATTTGCATATCTATGGGTGCCACCCCCAGTACTACATTTTCGTTTAAAACTGCACATTTCCCTGTTTCCTTGGATCAACAAATGTCTTTTCTTTTTTTTTATTTTTTAATTTTTATTTTTATTTTTATTTTTTTAACAAATGTCTTTTCTAAAAATCCCTTTCACAAATTTTCCTAGCAGGGTGACGGTGGCACAGGAATAGACACCAGTCTTGGAGAACTGCAGTCAGTTATGGAAAGAGTGGCAAACATACCTAAGTATATTCTGGTTTCTCTTCAGATTGCACGTCTCACCTTTTACTAAAGATTTCCGTGGAGAGGAATGTTTGCAAATTTGCCTTATTTCTGAGCTCAAAGGAAAAGTTTCCAATGTTTCATCTATTAGGTATGGCATTTGCTATAGTTTTTTGTAGATATCTCTTATTGGACAGACATTAAATGTTTTCAAACTTTTTTCCTATTAAGATGATATATGTGCATTCCTAGATTAGATGACTTATTATCCTTGGCATATGCTGCTAGATTCAGTTTGCTAACATTTTGTGTAGAGTTTTTGCAGCTATGCGGATAAGACTGGTGTATAATTTCTCTTTTGCATGGTATCATTGATGGATTTTTATATTAAGATGAGGCTAACCTTAAAAAAAAAGATTAAGCTAAACTAAGAAAATGAGTTGGGGTTTATATTCTCTTTTTCTAATCTTGAGACGAGTTTGAGTAAGACGAGAATTTTATCTTGAAATTTTTTTTAAAGATTTTATTTATTCATTTGACAGAGAGAAAGAGAGAGAGAGAGAGAGCAAGCACAAGCAGGGGGAGCAGAGGGAGAGGGAGAAGCAGGCTCTCTGCCAAGCAGAGAGCCCAATGCGGGGCTCCATCCCAGGACCCTGGGATCATGACCTGAGCTGGAGGCTGACGCTTAACCGACTGAGCCACCAAGGTGACCCTATCTTGAATGTTTGATAGAATTCTCTAAGCTGACTTTATGGAAAAAAAATTACTGATTCATTTTCTTTAATGGTTAGAGGACTATTTGGATTTTCTCTTTCTTCATAAGTCCATTTTGGTAGGTTATAATTTCTAGCAGTTTTCATCCTCATTTTCAAACATTAAAAAAAAGTCATTATCTCATCTTTTTATCATTTTAATGAGTGTAGCATCTTTAGTGATGTCTTCTTTTATATTCTTCATATTGATTATGTGGCTTTTCTCTTTCTGCATGGAATCCCTTTGCCCCCAAGTCCCATGGGGGTAACACACTTGGATGCCTGCTTGTGCAGTGGTGTGCACTACAATAAGAAACACTTAGAAGACCTGAATGTTACAGTCAGTAAGCATGCCTGCCTTTTGCTCTAAAGGGGGAAATATATTTTCCAAAGCTGTTTGCTCATCAACATCCTTGAAAAGATAGTTTGGGACAATGAGCAGTTGTTATTTCACTTAAAAGATATGCAGAAATGTGATAGACCTGTAGAGAATTGTCTCCTAGGATCATTTTTCTTTTGCTAGTACTAATCCTTCAGTAGACATTCTTGCTTTGTTCCTGAATTCAGGGGCAAAGCATTCAATGTTTCACTATTTCTTTTTTAAAGATTTTATTTATTTGACAGAGAGAGAGATAGCGAGAGAGGGAACACAAGCAGGGGGAGTGGGAGAGGGAGAAGCAGGCTTCCCGCC